CAAAAAACAGCTGCAGCAGATAGTGCAGGAGGCGGAGCGGCAGCCCCAAAGCTGCGGCAGCGCAGCTGTAGCGAGGCTGCGGCACGCCTGCAGATTCCATTCGGCATCGGGCTCCTGCCCGGCTGCGGCTGCCGCCCTCGCCATAGCCCACGTAGCCGGGGGGCGCGCCGATCAGCTTGCTGACCGTGTGCCTCTCCATGTACTCGCTCATGTCCAGGCGCACCATGGAGCCCTCCGACCCAAAGTAGTGATCGGCCAGGCGCTGCGGGGAGGGGAGGTGGCAGCGGGGGGGGGGGGTGAGCCCCTAAATGGAGGGCTGCAGCGCTGGGCAGGCAGGGAGGCAGGCAGGCAGCACCAGAGCACGGCAGTGCAGGCAGCCCGGCATCCCCGGGCAGCCTCGCTGGCCCCGTTCTGCTGCTGCGCGGCACAGCCAGCAGGAACAAGAGCCTCCCATCCCCCCCCCCCCCCACACACACACACACACACACACCTTTGTCAGCTCCGTCTTGCCGACGCCGGTGGGCCCCGAGAAGAGCAGGGTGGCGATGGGGCGGTCGGGGTTCTTCAGCCCGCTGCTGGCCCGCATGATGGCACGTGCGGTGGAGTCACAGGCGTCGTCCTGGCCAATCACGCGCGACTGAGGGGCAGCGGGGGGAGCGGGCGGCACGGCACACAAGGTGGGGCGGCAGCGGGGATGGAGGGGCGCGGCTGGGTGGCTGCGCAGCGCGGGCCGCAGCAGGCCAGTCGGCCGGCCAGCCCGCCACGCCGACAGGCGGCATGCACGCCGCGCCGGCACCCACGCACCTGCAGCACGCCTCCCAGCGTGAGCAGCCTGTCCCTGTCGTCCTGGCACATGCGCTCCACGGGCACACCCGTCCACGCGCTGACCACCTGCTCAATGTGCGCGGCCTCCACCACAGGCACCACGGGCGCCGCCTCGGGCACCCCGCTCAGCCGCGCCTTGAGCTCCAGCTCCCGCTGCCGCAGCAGGGCCGCCTCCTCAAACAGCAGGTCCTGCACCGCCTCCGCCTTGGTGGCAACCACCTGCTCCAGCTCCAGGTAGGAGGTGGCGGCCGCCTCGGCGGTGTCGCGCCCCGCCCCCGCCTTGCGCGCGTTGTACGCCGCGATGCGCACCCGGCTGCCCGCCTCATCCAGCAGGTCGATGGCCTTGTCGGGCAGGTAGCGGTCGGTGATGTAGCGGGAGGACAGCGAGACGGCGGCCTCCAGCGCGTCGCTGCTGTACACCACGCGGTGGTGACGCTCGTACCGGTCCTGCAGGCCCTCCAGGATCGCCAGCGCCTCCACCTCGCTGGGCTCATCCACAAACACGGGCTGGAAGCGCCTGCGCGGCGGCGGGGGAGGGGGCGGGCAGGGGCAGGGGGGCAGGGGGCAGGTGAGCCTGGCGGGCTGGGCCTCGGGGGCGGCAGGTGGCAAGGCAAGACAGCCGTGAGCCGGGATGGAGAGGCAGGCCGGCGGCGTGCTGCACAGTTCTCCTGGGCGCACCGCCCCGCTCCCCGCAGGCAGCCCAGCCCCACAGCCCTGCCGCCGTCGGCACCTCTCCAGCGCCGCGTCTCGCTCAATGTGCTTGCGGTGCTCGTCCAGGGTGGTAGCGCCGATGCACTGCAGCTCGCCGCGGGCCAGCGCGGGCTTGAGGAGGTTGGAGATGTCGAGGCCGCCGCCGCCGCCGCCGCCGCGCCCCACCGCGCCCGCGCCCACAAGCGTGTGCACCTGCGGGGAGCAGAGCGGGCCAAGGGTGGTGAGGCTGTGCCGCTCCCAACCACCCGCTGTACCCACGTGTGGCTCTGGGGCACCTGCACCACGCCCGACCACACTGCCAGGCAGGGTTGGGCCAGGCATAGGCGGCCCCGCTGGGCTCCCCTCCCTCCCGCCGCACCTCGTCAATCATGAGGATGATGTTGCCCTCAGACTTGCACTCCTGCAGCAGCTTGGTCACGCGCAGCTCCAGCTCGCCGCGCTCCTGCAGGCAGCCAGGCGGCAGGCGGGGGCGGCCAGGCGTCGGCGATGGCACGGCTAGTTTTACCCAGTCCACCCCTCGGCCTGCCCCAGCATCTCCGCAGCAGCTGAGTCCGTCCGTGGCTGCACTGTCCGCGCTCCTCCTCCACGCCTGCCCCACCACCTGCCCCACCTTGGCCCCCGCGATGAGCAGCCCCACATCCAGCTGCATCACGCGCTTGCCCGCCAGGAACGCGGGCAGCGCGGAGCCGTCGGCGTTGGTGCGCGTCACAATGGCGCGTGCCAGCCCCTCGGCGATGGCCGTCTTGCCCACGCCCGGCTCCCCCAGCAGGATGGGGTTGTTCTTCTTCTTGCGGGCCAGGATCTGGGTGATGCGCAGCACCTCCTTCTGCCGCCCAATCACCTGCGGCAAGAGCGCGGCGGGCACAGGGCCGGGTCGGCATGGGGACAGGCGGCAGCGGCAGCAGCGGCAGTGGGGAGCCCATAGCTCGGGTGCGGCGCTGCAGCAGGCGCACCGGGTCTGTGCGCTGGCTCTCCGCCTCCTTGCACAGGTCGCGGCAGAACTCCCCCAGCGCAGAGGCGCCCTCCTTCTTGCGGTCAGAGGTGGACTGCAGGCGGGGGAAGCTGCCGCGGGCGGATGCGTGGGTGAGCAAGCAGGCAGGGGCATGACTGGCCAAGCGAGCAGCGGGAAGTCGGGGCCTTGGCACGCGGCAAGCCAACGCACCGCGACCTTGCGGCGCTGACCCTCTCCCTCTGCCTCCCCCTTAAGCTTGCGCATCGCCTCCGCCTTGAGGCGGTCGGTGTCGGCGGCCATGCTGCAGGCGGCACAAAGCAGGGCAGGGGGTGTGAGCGAGGCGGGCGGGAGGCATCCGGCGGCAGCAGCTCCGAGGGATACCAAGCCCAGGCAGCAGCCATGTCCAGTCACACCAGCCCACGCCGCCCTGCCCATCCGCCCCAGCCCCTGCGCGCGCACCCTTCAAACACGCGGCGGCTGGTGGCGTCGCCCACGCTGAGCACCGCCAGCAGGATGTGCTCGGGCGTGATGAAGGACATGCTCATGCGGCGCGACTCCATCAGCGCCGTCTCAAAGATCTTCTTGGCCTCGCGGCTGCGCACAAAACATACACACAGCCATGGGAGCAGCAGGGCTCGTTGGGAGGAAGCAACATGTGCCACAGAGAGCTGCCAGAGAGACGCCAGCGATCAAGGGAAGGGCTGCTGCGTGCGCTGTGGCGTGGGCTGCGCACCCAGCGCAGTGCGCACACCTGAAGGGCAGGTCCTTGGGCGGCTCCCGCAGGCCCCTGCCAATCACATTCTCTACATCCGCACGAGCGCGCTCTATCTGCACAACCACGGGGGCGCCGCCAGTGGGCATCGCTGTGTGTACGGGGGCGTGAGGAGCAGCTGTGCTGGGCCTCCCATCAGAAGATCACAGCTTTTCGATGCGAATCGCCGCCGTTCCTACTGAAAGTGCAGCGGCCCGCCCATGGGCAGCCATGCCAGCCCTTGCCCCAGCAGACGAGGGCGGCACCAGGGGACGCACCGTGATGCCCGACGACAGGAAGCCCGCCTTGCCAGTGTCCTCGGCGATCAGGCCCAGCAGGATGTGTTCGGTGCCCACCTGCGATGCGGGGATGGCGGGGAGCAGGTGGCAAGCATGCCAATGCGGCCAGGGCTGGGGTGCAGCGCCGGCGCACATATGTGCCCCCTGGCGGCGGCGGCGACGTTGGCGGCGCCCACCTCGGAGGCCAGCAGCCGGCGCGCCTCCTCTTGCGCCAGCATGACTGACTTTATGCTGCGCTCAGTGAACTGCAGGCAGGGGTGTTCCGGAAGGCTGTCAGTCCGATCGGCGTCCAGACTCCCAGCCCTTCCTGCCTGTGCTGGCTGCTCCTGGGGCTGCCCAGCCGCTCCACACAGCCCAGCTTACCTTCTCAAACAGGGCGCTGACCCTCAGAGGGCCCCGCGCCCGCCCGCTCTCCGCCTGCCTAACGCGCTGCCCCAGTCGCAGGCTGCTGCCGCGCAGGCCGCTGCTTCTTTGCCAAGACGCATGGACCGCTGCGCTTGTGTGTAGCGCGGCTTGGGTTGCTGCTGCTGAGGGCCTGTTCAAACTTGCCGCTGGGCAGTGCCGCAGCGCAGCCAGGCTGATCGTGGGCGCCATGGTCGGTAAGCACCCCAGGTCAGGATGTGTGAGCACGTCTAGAGGGGATGGGATGCCCAACTCCCTTTCAGGCAGGCAGCCTTGTCAGCACCCAGCTGTGCAGGAAATCTCAGCGATCTCTGGACGCCGAAGCAACCCCCTTGGACTTCGGTGGCACGAAATGATGGTTCAGGGCACTTCCTGAACGAAGACCAACATCGAGACAGCAGCGCGGGGCAGTGGAGTGTGGGGCGCTGGCGCTGGCGCAGGCGGGGTGGCGGCAGGCGCCTTGCGCAGCACTGCACACGTGGGAGTCCGCTGTGCCCTTGCCTTCATGTTCAGCAATAATGGTCAATGAGACCATTGCCCTGTTTGCCAGAGGTGACGCCTTACAAACAGCCTGGCACAGGGGCTTCAACACACAGTGCGGGTGTGGCCCACAACGTCGAGGCGCTGTGGTGCACGACCGGGGGCAGTTCAGCATACCAGCATTTCGTTCACCATGCACAGTGCCATGGGTGTTTGAGCGTGAACCAACCACTGCACCTCACCCACTGCCGCCGCTGGCCACTCCAAGCGCCGCCTGCAGCCGCATGCGCAGGCTGCTGAGGTCTGCTGGCACCGGCTGGCTGCCTGCCAGCTGCTCGTCCCCAGCGTGCAGGCTGTCCTCTGGGCTGCAGCACAGCGACAGCGTGGCCAGGCCTGCCTCCACCTCATCCTGGGGCCCCTCCTCTTCCAGCCCCCACCCTGGCGCCGATACCGCCGCTGCCAGGCACAGCTCCCCAGACAGCCGCCGCCGCCGCTCCAGCTGCTGCTGGGATGGGCTCAGGACTTCCGTGTTCTGCGCCGCATTCTCCTCGCCCCCAGCCGCCTGCTGCCTGGCGCCGCGCTCGCGCTTCAGGGTGCGCGGCTGGCTGCCCTGCTGCTCCCCTGTCGCCCCCGCCTCCAACGCCTGGGTGGCGGCGGGACTGCCCGCTGCACCTGCCGCCATGCCGCGCGCCTGGCGCCGCGCCTCTCGTGCCTGCCGCTCCTCCATGGCCTCCTCCGCCAGCGCAAACGCTCCCTGCCGTAGCTCCCGCAGCGTCTGGGCTGCCGGTGCCCCTCGCTGGCGCCCCGAGTACAGCATGCCGTGGTACAGGTTGCAGGCGGCCTGCGCCACCTCAAACGCGCGCTCCCCCACAATGTCGCGCATGTGCAGCTTGGCCCCGCTGGCATCTGCACGGCAGCGGCGGCAGCAGGTCAGGCTGGGCTGTGGGGATGAGAGGCAGCCGAGGGGCGGCCGGGCAGCGGCAGCAGCTGCTGCCCGGCCGCAGCAGCACCCCCATGCCCACCTCTGAACCCCTCCACCCTGCTGCCCATGGCCGAGTTGGGCCCCTTGTCGATGAGGAAGTAGTTGAGGGGGTGGTCGATGCCGCGGGAGCTGCGGGCGATGATGTGGTGCACGCTGGTGTCGGCGCACAGCACGCCCGCCGTCGCCAGCCGCACCTGGAACCCCGCCCCCAGCCGAGCCAGCCAGTAGCGCACGCCGTCGGTGGGCACGCTTTCCACCCCCTCCTCCTCCAGCAGCTCCAGCAGGCCGGGCCAGCCGATCATGGCACGCAGGTCGCGGGTGGCTGCCAGCTCAGCAGGCACCACGCCGCGCCGCTGCCGTGCGCCGCCGCCGCCGCCACCGCCGCCCGTGGTGCGTGGCGCTGAGGCGCCTAGCCGAGGCCGACCTTCGCGAGTCTTCCAGCCCCTGGGCAGCAGGGAGTCATGGGGAAGCAGGTTTGGGTGACGCATGCGTTGGGGGTGGGTGAGGGGCCGGGCACCAGAGGTGGCCATGCCGGCGACAGGAGCAGACAAACTCACCGCAGCATGTAGTGGCAGCGGGACAGGTCGTGGCCTGCCGCCTTGAGCTCTCGGTACAGTCCACCATACGCCTCTGCCAGTGACAGCAGGCGCCAGTAAGGCACATGCCAGCCGCTGGGCACGGCGGCTGCGCCGCCATCCTCTCCATCCCCGCTGCCGCTGCTGCTGTCGCCGCTACCATCGCTGCTGACCTCGATGCCATCGCGCTCCCACAGGGCAGCAAATGCGTCAGGCGGCAGCAGCGCCAGCCCACCGCCGCCACCGCCGCCGCCACCGCTGCCGCCTGGCATGGCAAGGTCGCCGGCTGGAGAGGCGGCTGCCAGCAGCCGGATGCACCCACTGCTAGCCCAGTGCCCCGTGCATCCAAAGCAGTCCAGGCTGCCCGTGTCCACCCCTGCCTCCTCGGAAGCATCTGCGGGCAGGCAATGGTGGGCAGGGCAGGGCGGGGAGGCATAGGGTGAGGGTGGGGGGCTTGCAGCGGCGGCGCCAGGCCTCCTGGCCTGAGTCAGCAGGCACCTAGGCAGGAGCGGGCAGCGACGCCACCTGCTGGGAAGAGCGGGAAGAAGCGGCCAGGCCCGGTGGTGCTGCCCGTCAGGTCGACTCGCAGGAAGCCCAGGTGGCGGGCGGTGACTGGCGGCGGGTCAGCGCCGCGGGGCGCAGACGGGTGCAGCACCACGGGCACCGTTGGCAGCCGCGCATCAAGGGCGAGGGATAGCAGCGGCGAGGCGGCCAGCCGCTGGTAGATGGGAGCAGCCCAGGCGTCGCGCTGGGGGTCTGGCTGCTGCGCTGGCGGCACCAGCGGCAGCGGAGCGGACCCGCCAGAGCCAGCTCCTCCAGCATCGCCATCTGCCCTATCGGCCGCCCCTTGTGCCGGCTCTGGGTTGCACAGCGCGAAGGCCGCAAACATCATAGAACCGCACCCTTGTGTCGAGCTGAGCGGCCGGAAGGGCAGGGGGGCGGCCACGAAGAGAGTTCAAACCTCAGGCATCAAGCGCAGGAGATCGTTGGGTCTTCGATGAGGGTTGCAGATGCAAGCAGGTATTGTTTGTGCAGCGCAGCACGCCCAGCACGGCGTCGCGCCTCTGCCTCTTCCTTGGCTTGCCTGAGTAGAGCACGCCTCTGCCTCTTCCTTCCACCATGGACTGCTCACTTCTCATTGAATTGCCTTCCTGTCACAGTAGATTGCATGTTTACAGAGCCGTGAGGCCCCACCCAGCAGCAGGAGTGCGTTGCCACGGCACCGGGCACCCTCCGCCCATCGCCAGCCAGCCGCCCTGCTGCACCCCGAGCAGCAGCAGCAGTAGCTGCTGCGCTCTGAAGGCGCCCCTCCCTCCCGCCAACTGCCTGCTGGCCCCTCCCTCCCATCAACCCCTCCCTCCCTGCTCCCCACTGTCCCTGCCCCCCCGCTGGCGGGTGGAAGATGAAGTTGGCCCTCGCACGCGGCATGCTGATGAATGCCGACATCATGCTGCTGTACGATTCCACCAACCAGCTGGGTGTACTACGTGCAGTGCCAGATCAGCTACGTGGTACCAGTCTCCCGCGCCGACGACGCCTGCGGCACGCCTTCTGTCACATTCATGTTAAGTTCTTGAAACCATAGCAAACTTTGCTGCCTCATTTGCTGATAGAAAAATGATTGATGTTCAGGCCCCTGCTGACTAGCCGAGTTTGAATTGGCCACGGCGGGTCTGGTGCAGTACAGCGTGTGTACACCACCTGCACCCTTTGAAATCCCTTTTCAATCCTGTCCACCTTCTATTCTGAGCATCAAGAGTGGTGTGAGTGCACACACGGGAAGGGACAGCATACACCACCGGCGATGACCCGACGCAAGAGCACCCGCTGTGGTGGTGCCGGTGCCAACCCTGGCACCCAGCCTGGCGATCAGATTGGAGCGCAGGGACAGCCATTGGTCCAGCAGCGCACAGCAGCAGCAGCGGCAACAGCCACCCGCCCGCCCCAGCAAGGTGTGGTGGGCCTGGGCAGCCAGCAGCCCAGCGGCAGGCGGCCCCTGCCCTTGCTGGGCATGGCTGCTCGCAAGAGCGCGCCACCCAACTATGTTTACAGTGGCAGCAGCAGTGAGGAGGAGGAAGAAGAAGAAGAAGAGCAGGCTCCGGCACCCTCCAGACTGCCCCTGCTGGGCATGGCCGCTCGCAAGAGCGCCCCACCCAACTATGTGGATAGTGGCAGCAGCAGTGAGGAGGAGGAGGAGGTGGAGGACGCTCCAGCACCCTCCAGACTGCCCCTGCTGGGCATGGCCGCTCGCAAGAGCGCCCCACCCAACTATGTGGATAGTGGCAGCAGCAGTGAGGAGGAGGAGGCGGCGGCAGCACCCCGGCCGCCCCTGCAAGGAGCGGTGCAGTTGGGCGGCCAGCAGCCAGGCAGGATGGCTGCTCGCAAGATGGGCGAACTCGCCGTGCACAGCTCCCAGGGAGCTGCAAGGCGAAATAACAGACGCAGGCGCCAGCGCGCTGCAGCCAGCAGCGATGCGGCCACACCACCGGCGTCCGCGGCAGGCGCGGCGGCAGGCGCATCAGGCGCGGCGGCGAGGCTGAACCTGAGGGACACCATGAGCCTGCTGCAAATGCTGACCTACTTGGATTGTCTGGAGGAGACTGGGGCGCCCCGCTGCTTCGACACGCCTGCTGCGCTGATGCAGCATGCGGTGGCCAAGCATGGAGAGAACTCGTGTGGATTCATGTGGCGGTGGGTTGCCTGGGCTGCGCTGGTGCCCTTGCTGCCGCACAACAAGAACGCCCCACGTATGCTTGCGCTAAGCTGCTGCATCCTGCCACCGCTGCCTGCCCTCGCCTGTCATCATGACGACTCTGCGCCGCCTGCTGCAGCATCTGTGAAGTGTGCTCCCGCAACTTCAGCAGCCCTCACTGGAGGAACAAGCATGTTGTGGAGGCCCACATGCCGCATGGCTTCCAGGCAGCTGCCGCAGCCGGCGCTCCCAACCGGCAGCGCAATGCGGGGTCGGATGCGGCCTCCAGCGACGGGGATGAAGAGCCGGCGAAGCTGCCGCCAGGGGAGCGGTTTGCGCCCGACAGCAAGCACGCAGGTTGGTGGCGAAGGCAGCGCCTGGCTGCCGCAGGCGCATGATTGTTGCCCCTGCTCAGTACCCCCGCACCCGCAACAGTGCCTGCTTGCCGGGACTCTTGAGAGCCCATCTCTGCAGGCCCGCTGGCTGCCTGGAGCTTGTGTATTGACCACCCCCACCTCCCTCGCAGACATTCTGGACATGCTCACCTGCTACGCCTGCAACTTTGAGGGCGGGCCCGACTTCCAGTCGCCGGCGGGGCTGCTGCAGCACCTGCACGCCAAGGGCTGCTGCGCCGAGCAGGTAAGCTGGCGCCCGCGCTGCGCCGCTCAACGCATGTGCACGGGTGGAGAGCCTCTGGACGGCTCCGCCACCTGCCATCTCAGCCAGCGCTCGACCGGGGCCGTGCTGCTGTGCCCGCCCGCCGGGCCCCCATTGCAGGCGGCCTGGGTGGAGGCGCTGCGCCGCTGCCCCGACTGCGGCCGCCTGTTTGGCAGCTTCCAGGCGCTGAGCAGCCACGTGACTGGCAAGCACCTGAGTGAGCTGGAGGCACTGGATGAGGCGGAGGAGCAGCTGTGGCTTGAGGACTGGTCATCGGAGGAGGGCTCCCAGGGCTGCGCACGCTACGGCGGCATGGGCATTGCCTTGGGCGGCAGCGCGGAGGAGCTGGAGCAGCGCATGAGCAACTGCGGGTTCACTGATGCGGAGGCGTTCGAGCTGCTGTGCCAGGGGGTCAAGCCCTGGGACGACGATGCCTGGGCTGGTAAGCTGGCTGGCGGAGGGGGGGCGCGCTTCCCCCCATGCCCTAGGGGCGTGCTGCCCACCCTGGCCTGTCATGCACCTCCAACGCCCGACAACTGCCGCTGCCTGCAGTCATGCATGCTCTCAACGATTATGACGACGACGACTACTACTGAGGATGAGGATGAGGTGGAGGGGGAAGCTGGCTGGAGTGTAGGCGAGGTCCCTCCTAGCGGGAGATGGGCGAGCAACGATCAGAAGGCAGCCCCACCTCCCTCAGCTCAGCCTGCTGCCCTCCCTCCACAGCCACCGCTCCCTGGCCTTGTAATACACACACGTTACACGTGAGTCGGGTGAAGGTAGGTCGGCAGGGATCAAAAGGGGATGGGTGGGCGCAAGGGGATGGGGAATCAAAGCACAGTGCGCTAGCGTACACCAACGAACCAATGAAAGCACGAGGGTTGCGTTTCACAAGGGAGGGGGGCGGCGCAAGGGGATTGGTCCCGAGGGGGAAAAGAAGAGCAGGGGAAGGGGATGTCAGGATGCTGAGTGGCTGTTTTCGTCTCCGGCGGCGCCATGCATCTAGGGCGGCCGCGGCCTGGGTGGCTGTGTTGGCTGACGCAACAGGTTTTTTAGGCCCACTCGTCCTCGTCATCGGACACCTCCTCGCCGCGCTCACGCCGTGCAGCGTTGGCCTTGGCCCGAGCCTTCTTCTCCTTGCGGGACAGCTCCTTCTTGGGTGCCTTGATCTTGATGGTGTTGCCAAAGGCGTCAGTGGTCTCCTCCTGCCGCTTCCACTCCAGCTTCATGGCATCCAGCGCCGCGGCAGACTGGCCGGTGATGTCGCACTTGCCGCCGCCCACGGTCCACTTCTCCTGGCACACCTGGTTGACAAACTCGTGGTGATGGCTGACGATGACAACACCGCCGCCATACTCCTGCGCCAGGCGGAGGGGACGGAGCGCACAGCGGGGTCAGCAGGCAGGGGCGCGGAGGAGCATGTGGTGCGGTGGCATCGAGGCGGGCCGGCTGCCGACGGCGCCCTCCACCCTCCCCGGCAGCCGCCGCCGCGTGCGCGCACCTTGAGCGCGGAGGCCATGGCGCCCAGCGACTCGCGGTCCAGGTAGTTGGTGGGCTCATCCAGCACCAGGATGTGGGGCTGCTGCCACATGGCGGCACCCAGCACCAGCTTCACCTTCTGGCCGCCAGACAGGCCGCGGATCTGCGGGCGGGGAGCAGCACAGGCAGGCAGGGAGTCAGATGCCTGGGCAGGCAGGGAGCTGGCTTGCTGGCTGTGGACCAATCACGCCGGCCATGCTGCTGCCCCACACCCCCACCCTAGCGCCGCACCTGGGAGTGGGTAGAGAACTCGGCGGGCAGGCCCAGCTGGGCCAGCATCTCCTCCACATTCTTGGCAGTCAGCGGCTTGCCCATCAGGCCGGCCGCGGCGGCCTCCTGCGGCAGCGATGACGGCGGCAGCGGTGAGCAGGAGGCAGCGCGCGGGGGCAAGCCCGCAGCCCCTGTCCTCCCCTCGCCAGCCCGCAGCCGCAAGCCCGAAGCCCGAAGCCCCTGCCCTTCCGCCACGACCAACCCACCTTCATGTCGATGTCGGTGAGCATCTTCTGGAAGCCCATCTCCTCGAGGCGGTCGCGTGTCAGCCAGCTGGTCTCCGCCTCGCCCTTCCACTGCACCTCGTACTCGTAGCCGCGCTTGAGCTTGCGGCGCGCCAGCAGCTTCTCCACCACCCGCTTCACGCCGTCCACCACCTTGACCTCCTTCATCTTCTTCTCCTCCTCCTCCTTCATCTGCGGGGCGCAGAGCGGGGGCGGCAAGGGGGGGCGGGTCAGCCGGGCCGCTGGGAGGGTGGGGACAGGGAATAGGGCGGCCAGCTGGCTGGCGGCTGGCTGGCCTGCCCCTCTCCCGCCCACACCAGCTCACCTTGCGGGAGACCTTGTCCTGGGACTCGCGGTCCTCGCCGGTGGCATAGCGCCACTGGATGTACTGGTTGGGGGTCATGTCCAGGTGGTTCTCAATGTGGTGGAAGGCGTGCTGCGCCACGTAGGCGACGCGCAGGTTGGGGTGCTTCCACACCAGCCCAGACTCAGCCTCCAGCTCGCCCTGCGCTCACGATACAGCCGGGCACGGGGGCAGAGGGATGAGCAGGGAACGAGGCAGGCAGAGGGCACGGGCAAGCAGCGCTGCTTTGCGGCTGAAAGCGCCACCCGCCAACCCGTCCCCCAAGGCAGCCATGCGATGCTGTTGGCAGCAGCTGCGCGGGGGGGTTCGCAACTCACGGTGAGCAGGCGGATGAGGGTAGACTTGCCCGCTCCGTTGGGGCCCAGCACGGCGACGCGGGAGTTCAGGGAGACCTGCAGGTTGACGTCGTTGAGGATGCGGGACTCGGCGGTGGGGTACTTGAAGTTGACGCCGCGCATCTTGAGGATGGCGCGGTCCTTGGAGGTCACGCCCTGCGCGGGGCGCGGCGGGCGGGGTGGAGGCGGATGGGGGAGGGGCGCGGCGAGGCAGAAAGGCCGAGGCGCGGTGTGCAGGTGGCGGCGAGGCAGCGGCAGGCGGAGGTGCGTTCACCACAGCAGGCAGGCCGGCCAGCCACGGCCACCCCCCAGCCCCAAAACCCACCTCCAGGAAGCCGGGCTCGGGCAGGGACCACTTGGTGGAGGCGTCGGCCAGGGAGTAGTAGGCGGCGGCCTCGGGGCGCTGCTGCACAAACTTGGACAGGTTGCCCAGGTACTTCTTGAGCTTGAAGTTGTCCTCGTAGTGGATGATGGAGGAGCAGACGGCGTCCAGGAAGCCCGAGTCGTGGGAGACGACCACCGAGGTGACGCCCTTGAGGCCCACCAGGTAGTTGATCAGCCACTGCACGTTGGTCACGTCCAGATGGTTGGTGGGCTCATCCAGCAGCATGATGTCGGCGTTCATGAGCATGGCCCGCGCCAGGGCCAGCTTCATCTTCCAGCCGCCTGCGGGGGGAGGGGGAGGTGGGGAGGGGAGGGTCAGCAGGGATGGCATCGCGCAGCTGCTGCAGCTGCTGCTGGCCCACATGCAGCCCTGCTGCCCCAAGCCGCGACCCCTGCCCAGCCCCAGCCGCAGCCCAGCCAGCAGCCCCACAGCGCAAGGCCCTCACCCGACAGGGAGGCCACGGGCAGCGCCTGGCGCTCGGCGTCAAAGCCCACGCTCTCCAGCACCTCGATGATGCGCTCGCGGGCGGGCATCACCTCCTTCACCATGTCGTCGTTCACCACAAACTCAACCACGGGGGTCTCCGCCTCTGCGGACGCAGGGGGACAGCGACGGGACAGGGGGCAGGCGGTTAAGCAGGGCACGCGGGGCACGCCAGCGGTGGCGGAGCAGTGGCGGCACGCAGTCCCCAGGCAGGCTGCATGCCGGGCTGACAGGGCCGCGGCTGCAGTGCTGCAGCGGCCCTCACCCGAGGCGTCAATGTCGTGCTCCACATACACGGTGCGCAGCTCAGTCTTGGGCGGGAAGCCGTCCAGCTGGCCGTTGGCGCTGCAGGGTGGGCAGGCGCGGGGAGGCGGGCGGGCACGGGTGAGATGGCGGCAGCGTGTGTGCACAGGGCCAGCTGGCGAGGCAGGGAGCACAAGCAGGGCACATGGGGCAGGCTGGCCAGCCCACCCAGCCCTCCTGCTTGCTCACATGGCGCGCATGAGTGTGGACTTGCCGGCGCCGTTGGGGCCGCACAGGCCGTAGCGCTGGCCGCGCTTCAGGTGCAGGCGGGCGTTGTTGAGCAGGATCTTGCCACCATAGGCCAGGGAGAACTCGCAGTTGCACAGGTCCTCGCCCTCCTCCTCCTCCACGGGCGCCATCTCGCGGGACTGCGCCTCCTGGAAGCAGGCGGCGTGGAACTCCTTGCACACAGACGTGGCGCCCGCCTCGCCGCAGAAGGCGGCCAGGTAGGGCACGGTGCTCTGCGGGGAGGAGGGAGGGAGGGCAGGGGCAGCAGGCGTGAGGGTGTGGACGGCGGAAGGGTATCGAGGGCTGGGGCTCAACTGGGGCGACACCAGCTATAAATACGTCCGAAAGCAAGCCGAAAGAGCTGGCAGCGCCCCAAGCCCAAGCCCAGGCCAGGCAGCCCACCTGGGTCCACTCGGCCTCCTCAAAGTTCTTCACATCAATCAGGTTGGCGGCCATGCCGGCCACGTGGCGCGAGGCGGCCTCGGCGCCGTCGCCCTTGATGGACACGCCGGCGGCCTCGGCGGCCTTGTTCAGGGCCTGAGGGCAGAGGCAGGGGGCAGGGCAGGTGAGCGCAGGGTGTGGAGGCAAGGGGGGCAGGCAGTGCCAGCATGGTACGGCGCAGGCCAGGTCGGCGTGGCACACCGCTGCCCTGCCGCCAGTTCCAGCCATGTGCCTCCCCAGCCTCTCCAGCCCGCTGGCCCCGGCCGCCCCGCCACTCACCGCCAGCACCTCCTCGGTCTGCGCCTTGGGGTGCGCCTCCACCGAGGTGTTGATGGACTCGAGGATCTTGTGGCAGTCGGTGGCCACCTCGCGCGCCTCGGGGTTGGACATGCCCTCCATGGCAAACTTGACGTTGGGCAGCAGCAGGGACACAAACTCGGCGGCATCCACGGGGTCGTCCACCAGCTGCGGGGGGGTGAGGGGTGGGGGCAGGGCAGGGGGACAGGCAGGCAGGCAGGGGTGAGGAGGGGGTGAGGGGGAGGAGCGAGGGGTGAGGATGAGGCTGGCATGGAAAGACCGGCAAGGGCTGGGGCTGGCTGGGGCCGCGCCAGGCGCGGCAGGCGGGGCCGCAGGCGCGGGCCGCCACCCCAGCCCCACGCACCTTGGCCATGTTGCGGATGATGACGCACGCCTTGCGGCGGATGGGCGTGGTGCGGTCGGTCAGGCCGCGCACGAGCAGGGGCACCAGGATGGACAGAGTGCGCGCGTCCACCGACTGGACAAACGTGGTGGCAGAGAGCTTGTGCACGCAGTCGGGCACCTCGCTGGGGGCGCCGATGCAGCGGATCAGGTGGGGCACAAAGGGCTCAATGTCGCGGTTGCCAATGGCGGCGCAGCACTTGGTCAGGGCGTCGGTGGCGGCGGCGCGCACGGTGGGCTTGAGGTCCACCATGCAGTTGGTCACCACGGGCACAATCTCGGGCAGGTAGACCTGGGGGAGGCAGGGAGGGAGGGAGCAGGCGGGGGAGGGGTGAGGAGCCGCCGCGGAAGGCGAGGGGAGGCGGGGGCGAGGACGGCGCGCCGCGCGGCGGCGCCGGCGCCACTCCTCGCGCCTCACCGAGATCTGCTCGGGGGCGGCGGAGGCCAGGTGGCCCAGGAACTTGGTGGCAGCCTCCTTGGTCTGCCACTTGGGGTCGGACATACCCTGCGGCGGGGGGCAGGGGGGCAAGGCGGCGTGTGCTGAGCGCCAGGTGGTAGTCATATCCTGTGCGGCGGCGAGCGGTCACTTCCTCGGGTCGCCGCCGTTTGAGCGCGCAGCTGTCGGGGGTGGGCGCGCACCTCGAAGAGGGCAGGCAGCGCCAGCTTCACCGCATTGCGGTTCAGGGCGGACATCACCGCCTCGCCAGCCTTGTCGGCGGCGGCGCGGGTCGCGGCATCCTGCGGCGCGCACAGGGGCCAGCGATTCGAGTCGGCGCGGCGGCGAGGGCATGCAGGGCGCTTGAGCTTCCGGCGGCGCCGGCAGCGTCTCGGGTGCCCGATTCAAAAGCGCAGCAGCCGGGAAGGAGCCGAGAAGGGTGGGGACGCGGACCGGCGTGAACTCATCGCGTGTGGCTGCTGCAGTGGCGGCGCTGCTCTGGCGGCGTGCCCCCAGCAAGGCCCCACGCGCCCTGTATCGCCCTGGGGGTCTCACCTTGTCGGCGGTGGCCTTCAGGAGTGCCGGTAGGTGCTGGAGGAGGTGCACTTCCGCTGCGGCGCCCTTCTGGGCGGCCGCGGCGAGAGTCTCCAGGCTGCCAGCGCCGTTGAGAGAGAGCTGTGACAGCTCCTGAGCCAGGGCTGCGGCCATGGTAGAAGCAGAGAGCGCTTTGGGCGGGGGAGTGGCTTCAACCAGGGGGGCAGACAGAGGCTGCAGGAGCTGTGGGGGAGAAGGTGGCCGAGGCCGCTTGAGAAAACTTGAGAGAAGAGGGCGAGGTAGGCGCGTTCCCCGAGCTAAGAGCCCCGGGCGCCTGGGTCGCCACTCGACCACACATGAGGGCGCGGATTTTGCCGTGTGTCAACCCCGATGTGCGGCATAAGCTCATCAGTGTGGTGTCGCATCGCATCGGGCACAGCGCGGGGCGGTGGGAGGGCCTGGGCAGGGAGCAGTGTGTGTGCATGGATCGCTGGATGGCGCCACCTTTCGGTTCGTCGACCCTTCTGGGCCTCTACTGCCGCAAGCGATCCAAAACGAGGTTTACACATCGTGTGGAGGGCATGGGAGGGTCCCTGCCCCTGGGCAGCCGCTTGGAGCGGGGGCGCACACATGTGGCCGCTGCCGCCAGGGCTTTGGCGGCTGCTCCAACCCCGCCAGATTCAAGCAGGAGTGTGCATGAGGAGGAGGAGGATCACTATCTTCAGCATCTTCTACGAGATGTGCTGCATGCTGCACAGGCCCGGGCGTAGCACTGGCCTGCTGCATTCTGCGGCACTGGCGAGGCGCTTCCTGGGCGGGTGCGGGTTACACGCATCTTATGCACAGCTGCCGCATGCTACCACATCATCACTCATCCCAGCAGGTCGGCAAATGGGTCCTTCTTGGCCCCCGCTACCGGCAGGCGGCCCTGCCCCGCCATGGGCGCGCTACCGATGCCCCCCAGCGGCGACGCCGATGCCTGCTGCTGCTGCGGAGGTGCCAGCTGGGGGCGTGGGGGCGTCCCTGCCCCTCCCAGCAGGTCGCCAAAACCCAGGCCTGCACGCCACAGCAGCCAGCATGCAGGCAGGCGGCGGTTGGGGCCAGCAGCCGGCGTTGCGCCCACCCTGCCTTGCAGCTAGGCACCACACTCGAGACGTAGCCCCGCACACAAGCAGCGCCAGAGGCATGTCCAGCCCCATGGGCCTGCCCCGCACCTTGCTGCTGCTGCACGACAGGCCCCGCCGCAGCGCCGCCGCCATTGCGCATCAGGTCTCCCAACCCCATTTCCATCAGCCCAGCGCCAGCACCCGCAGGCTGCTGCGCGGCTGCGCCGCCGCCCAGGCCTGCCAGCGCTGCCATGGGGTCCAGGGGTGCGGGCGCCGCGGCCGCGCCGCCGCCTGCCGCCGCCGCCGCATCCAGGCCCATCAGCAGGTCCAGGTGGCTGCCGCCAGCAGGTGCCGCCGCCGGCGCCGCCGCCTCAGCCTCCATGCCGCCCAGCAGGTCTGGGGCAGCCGCCGCAGGCCTGGCCGCGGCCGCGGGCTTGGGCGGGGAGCCGGCTGTGCGGCGGCCTCGCAGCCCTGGGCTGGCAGAGGCGGCGCCGCCGCCGCCGCCGCCAAACAGCGAAGCTGCCAGGCGCTGCTTCTCGGCATCCACCGCGGGCGGCGCCGCGGCGGACGGCGCCGGGGAGCCAGACCCTGCTGCTGCTGCTGAGGGTGCGGAAGAGCCCGCCCCGTATGGCTGCTGGCCGGGCAACGCTGCGCCTGCTGCGCCGGGCCGCGGCGGCTCGGCGGCCACGGGCCCGCCCCACTTGCGCCCCGGCTTGTTCAGAATCAGCTGCGGCCCGGCGGCGGCGGCGGGAGGCGCGACAGCGGCTGGCGCGGCGGCTGCCGCCGCTGCTGGCGCCGCCGCCGCCGCCGCGGCAGCTGCGGGCTGCGACAGCGAGAGGCCGCCAAAGTCGAGTTCGATGCCGTCCATGCCGGTTGGGGCCTCCACCGCGGCTGCAGTGGGTGCCGGGGGCGCCACGGGGCGCGGCTGCGGCGCCGCCGTCGCCGCATAGGCCTGGAACTTGAGGGCGGCGTGCGGCACGTGCAGCGGCGCGGCGCCGCCGTCCCGCGTCATGCCCATGGCCTGCCGCTCGCCCAGGCTGAGGTAGGGCGCCGCGCCGTTCTGCAGCGCCTGCAGGCACGGGGAGGCAGGGCGGCGACCAGCGGGGGGTCAGCCGGCCAGCGGAGTCAGCCGGCCAGGGCAGTGCAGCGCAGGCCGGCGCCGCCCCAGCCACGCCTGCCCCAGCCATGCCAGCCCCAGCCCAGCTGGCACGGCAGCGCCCCAGGGCCCCCCCACCCCCTCCCCCCCAGGCCAGCCCCCCACCTGCTGCACAAAGGGCTCCAGGAAGGGCAGCGCAGGGTCCACCCCCACATCCTCTGCCGCCGCATCGTACGG